GATAGGAAAGTCATGTGTTGGACACATCAGATTTTTTCCTTTAATAAAAATGGAATTCGGAGAATATTTAAACAAGTTAGGACTCTTTAAAGTCAATAACAGTATGAAATTGACCCAGTTATACGACAGTACATCAAGGAGGACATCTCGGTGTTCAGAAAACCCTTCAGGGAGTTTGGGAAAGGTTTTACTGGATGAACAGTTATGATGATGTAGAGGACTGGTGTAAGAAATGTACCACCTGTGCTATAAGTAATGGACCTCAACGAAAAAGGAAGGCTCCTATGAGGCAATACAACGTTGGTAGCCCATTTCAGAGGATCGCTTTAGATATTGCTAGAACATTCCCCGTGACCGAGGATGGTAATATATACATGTTGGTGTTTATGGACTATTTTACAAAGTAGGTCGAAGTTTACGCCATTCCAAATCAAGAGGCTGCAAGCAGCTGTTGCAGATGTATTGATAAAATAGTTTATTTGTCGATTTGGAGTGCTTTTGGAGATCCACAGTGATCAAGGCAGAAATTTTGAAAGTCAACTCTTCGTGGAATCTGTGACAGACTAGGCATGAAGAAAACGAGAACCACAGATTTGTACCCACAATCCGATGGAATGATAGAACGAATGAATAAGACCATTGGCAAATATCTGTCGAAAGTAATTTCAAACCATCTTTCTTTCTTTGCAATGGCTTATAGATCCTCTGTCAATGAATCAACAAGCCAAATACCTGCAAAGGCCCTGTTTGGACGTGAGATGAGACTACCGTGCGACCTCGAGTTTGGATGCCGACCTGGAGAAAATGTAGGTGGTGAAGATTATGTAATCCAGTTACGAAAAATAATGGGCGATATGCATAAATTGGTCCGCACGCATCTTCAAATCGCCAGCGACAGGATAAAGAAATGGTACGTTACTCAAGCTACAGAGGGATGTTTTAAGGAAGGTGAAAAAGTCTGGCTCTATGACCCGAAAAGACAAAAGGGTTATTCTCCGAAGTTTTGAAGGTTTTGGGAAGGTCCGTACCTCATCAAGAATAAAATTTATGATGTAATTTACCGTATAAGTAAGATCTCAAACGGTAAAAAGTTTGTGCATCAAAACAGGCTGGCGCCATTTGAGGGCGACCATGAAGAAGAAGTAAACCAACTTCAAGAAACACCTGACCTTGTCTTTAAAGAATTTATAGGTGCATATCGAAAAAGCAAGACATGGTGTTACAACCGAGCAACAACAAGATCTGCTCTCGCTTCCAAAAGACTACTCGGTAGTCCATAATACTTACTCCAGCATCAACGACGTGCGAAGATGGGCATATGTGTTCCGTAAGAAGTTTGGTCGACTGCTAGACTTTCAATGTCAGTTACTAGCCGCTGGAAAATCCTTAAAACTTCAAGACGAATCGCGCTACCTTTTCTATCTGGTAACAAACGTTACTTGACTATTTCTGTACGTCTTACGAACCTGCTAATATATCGTGTACAGTGAATCCCAGCGGTCTGTCTGATCATGAAGCCGTTTTAGCTTCGATATCTCTTGAGCATAAGCTTCCTAAGACTAATTCTCGTCATGGTCGATTGTTTAGTAAATCTAATTATGGAAAATTTCATTTAGTATGTAAAAATTTTAATTGGTACAGTTGCTTTACTGGTATATCTCCTTTTAACGATTTTTATTTAAATTTAAGCAAATTTTTTAATGCGTCTTTCCCTATTCAAAAAATAAAAATTAAGCCAAAAAAGCCGTGGATTACAGCTGGTTTAAGATGTTCATCAAAAAATATGAGATCTCTCAACTATATAAAAAAATTTACGCAAAATAATTTATTTTTAAACTATTATTATCGCTACAGATCTTTATATCGAACACTTATTAGAAAAGCTAAAGATATGTACTATCATACAAGAATCGATAGCTCAAAAAATAAGGCAAGGGAAACTTGGTCTATTATTAATGAATTGAGAGGCAAAAGTACCCATAAATCATGCAATGCAAATATAAATCCTAACGATTTCAATACTTTTTATTGCAATATCGCTGAAAATCTAACAAAAAATCTAAATAGAACAATTAGAATTTGTAAAATCGTCACCAATTAAATATTCATTTTTCTTAAGAGAAACAAATTCCTCATAAATATTAAAAGTTTGTAATGACATACACAACAAAACTGCATCAGGACATGATGGAATGTCAGTAAAAATATTTCAAAACTTACCTACCTCTGCATTAGACGTTTTATCCATTTTAATAAATAAAAGTTTTATTGAAGGTACTTTTCCTCCTTTTCTTAAAACAAGTGTTGTGGTTCCATTATATAAGGGAGGAGACTTGACTGAGCCATCTAATTTTAGGCCCATATCTCTAATTCCGACACTCAGAAAAATTGAGAAACTTGTAAAAACTCGACTAGTTAGATATCTAGACCAAAATAATATATTGGACATAAATCAATTCGGTTTTCAACACAACAAAAACGTATCGGACGCTGTTTCTTCTTGTTTGGAATTAGCTTATACAAGTTTAAATTTCAACGAGGCCGTAGCTGCAGTATTTTGTGATCTGACTAAAGCTTTTGACTGTGTCAACCATGGAGTACTGCTGCAAAAGCTTGAAATTTATGGCATAAGAGATGTGGTCTTGAGTTGGATGAAATTCTACCTTTTAGGTCGCAAACAGTTAGTCCGAACTGTTTCAGACTTGAACACAAGTGACATAAAATGGGGTGTCCCTCAAGGTTCCGTTCTTGGACCCACCCTGTTTTTAATTTATATCAATGATTTAGGTAAGTTAAATATCTCAGGAAGTTTCACTCTATTTGCTGACGATACTACTATCTTGTGGCACAATAAAGACGTCAATATTCTTTATGCAAATATTAGTAATGACCTAAAATCCTTTAAAACATGGTGCACTGCAAATTTTCTGTCATTAAATTTAAAAAAAAACAAAAATACTAACCTTTAAATGTAATGTTCCTGATATTTTAATAGATATGGATAATGTAGAAGCCACAAACTGTACAAAATTTTTGGGTTTAAATATCGACATGGATTTGAAATTCAAATCTCATGTGGATTCACTTTTAAAAAAACTCGCATCGGGTTGTTATGCCATTAGAACCACCTCTCATGAATTGGGAGTTTGTGCAGCAAAAACTGCATATTATGCGTTAGTTGACTCCCATCTACGTTATGCTGTTCAGTTTTGGGGAGTCTGTTCTGCCGAGTTATTTGACAGTCTTTATAATGCAGAAACGGGCAATAAGGTTCTTATGTGGAGCACACAGATTAGTTTCATGCAGACCGCTGTTCTTAAAACAAGAAATATTAACATTAACATCTTTATTTATCTTAGAAACTTGTTGCATGATCCATAAGAACAAGTCGAAATATAAATCGAATACATCCCGTGTAACTCGCCAAACGGGTAACTTGAAGTTGCCTATTCCCAAAACTGAACTAATAAGAGACTCTTTTATATACAATGGTATCAAAATGTACAATAGGCTATCACATACGTTGACAGATGTTGAGTCACAGAATTGTTTTAGAAAGCTGCTCAAGAGATTTCTGTTAACTAGGCCTTATTATAATATTATAGAATTTTATAATGACGAGACACTGTGATATGTGTTTTATTTTGTTTTATTTTATATGTATGTATTAATGTTAATTTATAATAATGTTTGTTTATATTTTAATGACTATTTATTTATTTGTAATTTGTATACTATTTGTACAATATTGTGTTTGTATGACTATTTATTTATTTGTAATTTGTACAATATTGTGTTTGTCAATAAGTATTTTAACTTGGACAATAAACATATATTCTCTCTTTCTCTCAAAGAACACCTTTCGAGATCGATCCACTTATTATGATGTATGGGAAGTATTTCTTAGTTTAAGGGAGCACGTACTGGCGTCTAAAGTACAGAAACTAGTCAGGCCGAAGATAGAAGGAAATCAGCTGGATTGGAGGATCATTAGGAACATGGTGGAAGTAAACTTTCAAGATATCGGAGTCCAAATACTGGTCTGCAGCCCTTCGCCCAGTGTCCAGGTTACAGTGAAGATAGTCCCTTGTTACTTCCATGCAACTGGAAATTGTAAAAGAGGGGACAATTTAATGCGAGCCATTTCATTTTTTTTGTCATGCTCTAATCTTTCAAGTCCCTTACTGTCTTATTTGGTATTTGAGGCTCAAGTTGTCCAATTATCATACATAATTAAACCTCTTAAGACCAAACATATGCGACGAAAGTGGTTTCGATTACTTTCCAGAACGAACGAGATAATGTTACTAGTTTTGGCAAGAACGTTCTAGAGCACTACCAAAATTTTCAATGTGTATATAAATATTGGTGTAGGAACACTGACAGTCAGTCGTATACAAAAAGTTGTGAAAATAAACAGTGAACAATTAAAAGACATTCGAAATATATAAATTAGAATAGTATTATTTTAAAATAAAAAAGTGTTCAAATAAATTATTAAATGTTGTTTAAAATAAACAAACGTAACAATACTCTTCTTAACTATACGTGAATTTTTCTTCTATTTCGAAAACTGTAGGGGTTGCATCTTCATCCATATCCATATTTATTTTTAATGACTATTTGAACGATTCATCAGATAAAAACTTATGATGGCGTTCCTTTTTATAACACAATCAATAGCCTATTAGCAATGGAGCTGTCAATTATAAAGCATAAATATTAATGCTAATAATACTCATAAATCGAGTATAAATGTCCCCATTATATTGCGAAAGTTCAACTTAATCCTTAATCATAATACTAATGTAAATACTAATAATAAGGGAGTATAAATATACCCTTATAAAAAAGTCAATAAACTCATCGATTTTTAAATTATCCCACTTACCCCTTTTAAATTGTATCCAGAAGTTAATAACTGTTAAATATTGTAAACACGCTATAAAATAAATCTTCATAAATTATATCCATTACAACTATCCATTCCTTCTTTTTAGGTAACCGCTCCCGTGCAGCGGCTCAGGCTTTATTAAACCAGAGATACAACAGCGGCAGCATTAGCAAAGACGACAAGAATAAAGGAGGAAGTAAACCTATCAATAATGGAGTGACTGTTTATTATGTGGGAAATCCCAAAAAGGAAGTTCAGAAAGTGTTGGTTAGAGGCGCAACCAGTCCGGTATTGTCGAACAGTAGGCCGAGTTTCGAAAGCAGGCCCGAAATGAAGGATTTTTGTTCGGTGGAGACTTGCAATTTTTGGCCTCATTGTTCACACAGGTAATTTGAATATTTACTAAGCTGAAAAAACACGAAGAAAGAATGAATATTGTTTAAATATGTATACCTTTTTGTTTGTATAGACGATGTTTAGTTATTTTTTTAACTATTGTTGATAAAGAATAACTAGGTACGAACTGTACAAAATTTAAAACAATAAAAAATGTTCATTAATTTTTGCGGGCAAGCAACCGAAAGTTAGCAAACATTTGGAATTTTTTTTATGAATAATACAGTTCAAAATAAAGCTACATTAAAATTTGTTTTTATCTATTCATTTGCCTGAGTTATTAATTTTTTAAAATTTATGACATAACCAGGAATAGACCAATAGAAACTAGCCACACAACGTTGCCAGTTAGGCGGTATACGAGAAGTAATATACTGTTAAGCCGGCTACGGACGATAAGCGATAATATAATATATATTATAGCTCGGCAATGAGCTATAATATTATATTATTACTGCAGTGGACGAGAATATACAGGGTTGGCCAAACCTCTGTCGTAGTTCTATAACTCCTAGGTACTATGCAAATCTTAACGATTTATTCGATGTATACCTGTCAATGGTGGCCAATACCAAATATCCCAAAATTATTTTCTTGTGTACAGGGTGGCCCAATAGTAAATTAGGCAAATCACTTAATTTTTTTTTAAATGGAATGACCCAACTTTTTTTACAACTTTAGGTACTTTATGGTCATACCCACAAAATATTGTTTCTAACATCCTACCCCTTTCGCAGAAAAAGAAGAAATACCAAAAAATATTACAATTTCAGACGCCTATTAAAATATGCAGTGCTCTCTCGAATTTGACGTTAGAATTTAAAAAACTACAAATGTATAAAGCCAATTGACCAAAGATTTTTTAGACCAAGTTTTAATTTTTTATTTTGTACAGGGTGGTCACAAATTAATTTCAATTTCCAAAAATTTCTAGGACATTTTTTTCAAATAGAACTCCCTGTATTACAATTCATCGATGAAACGAGAATTTTATACCCTTCGTCTTCCCCATGTACTTTCCTATACCTATCTGTCGTCGTTTAAAAGTAAATTCCAAAAAGACATTGATCTATCAAAAATCCAATTTCTACCAGTGGTTTTATTGAAAGTGAACATTCAATCAAGTAGGCTGGGTCTTAATGAAGTGTCAGATTATTTATTAATGAAGTGTCAAGTTATTTTTACTGATCGCGATAATTCTTCTATTAATAATGAATTTTACGAAAAACGAATTAATTGACATGGTCTATGTTTTGGGAGAATCCGACAGAAATTGTTTATTGGCAAAAAGAATTTATCATCAACGATATCCCGATAGACGCATCCCTGATCAAAAAAGTTTTGAAAAGTTACATGAAAGATTTACCGAAACAGAAAATGTTGCTTATAAAAAACCAATAATTGACAAACGTGCTACTGATAATGATAACCAATTATCTGTAATTTTGACAGCGATAGAAGATCCTCATGTAAGTCAAAAAAAGATTGCCGAAGTAGTAGGTATAAGTAGAACATCCGTTAGAAGGATTTTAAAACAGCATCAATATCATCCTTATAAAATACAATTGCATCAAGAGCTTAAAGACATCGATTTTGATAATAGAATGGTGTTTTGTAACTGGGCACAAATTAAACTGCAACAAAATCCATTTTTTTTTTTTTTTGATATAGTGCTGTTTTCTGATGAATCTACATTCCACAAGAACGGATTCGTTAATAGACATAATTTCCACTATTATTCCACGGAAAATCCTAACATCATCAGAACACATAGCCAAGAAAGATGGAGTGTAAATGTTTGGGGAGGTATAATTGGGGATCATGTTATTGAGCCGTATTTTTTTGAAGGCAACTTAAATGGTCTGATGTATTTAGATTTTTTAGCAAATCATCTTCCTACTTTACTTGAAAACATTTCCCTTGCTGTAAGACTAACAATGTGGTACCAACATGATAGGGCAGCAGCGCATTTTTACGCGAAGTGGCAGATGAATTAGATGAATAGTTTCCAAATAGATGGATTGGTAGAAATGGTCCAAAAAAATGGCCAGCTCGACCACCCGATTATTTTTTGTGGGGTTATATTAAAAATCTAGTCTATCTTACGCCACCTACAACACCTGAAAATATGAAAGAAAGGATAGTGCAAGCTTTCCATTCTATTACACCTAATATGCTTAGAAACGTTTCTCGATCATTCGCCAAACGAATAAATGTATGCATTTTATTTTATTATTTATTGTCGTAATTTTCTTCCTTTTGAATTTATTTTAAAACGGCGACAGATAGGTATAGGAAAGTACATAGGGAAGTGGAAGGGTATGAAATTCTCCTTCAGTTAATGAATAGAAATACAGGGTAATAAATTTGAAAAATTTTAAAAAATTTCCCTCGAAATTTTTGGAAAGTGAAATTAATTTGTGACCACCCTGTACAAAATAAAAAATTCAAACTTGGTCCAAAAAATCTTTGGTCTATTGGCTTTATACAATCGTAGTTTTTTAAATTCTAACATCAAATTCGAGAGAGCACTGCATATTTTAATAGGCGTCCGAAAATGTAATATTTTTTGGTAATTTTTTTTTTTCAGCGAAAGGGGTGGGATGTTAGAAATAATATTTTGTGGGTATGTACTAGTGACCATAGAGTACCTAAAATTGTAAAAAAAGTTGGGTCATTCCATTTAAAAAAAAATAAGTGATTTGCCTAATTTATTATTGGGCCACCCTGTACACAAGAAAATAATTTTGGGATATTTGGTATTAGCCACCATTGACAGGTATACATCAAATAAATCGTTAAGATTTGCATAGTAGGAGTTATAGAACTACGACAGAGGTTTGGCCAACCCTGTATATATATTTTTTATTTTTCAATATAATAGGCTGATCCAGTGAACTATATAGTGTAGTTGCAAAAATGGCGATGGAGAAAAATTTGTTATTGCTAGATACCATTGATAGCTCATCAGAAGATAAATCAGATGCTGAAAGCGACAATGTATTATTATTAGCAATTAGGGTTAGTAACCAAAAAGAAACAATAAGATTCTGGTTATCAAATCACATCAAATGCCGAAAAGAACGAGGAGAATTTACACTTTTTAACGAATTTACAAATTATTTTTGAATGGACTGAACGAATTTTTATGATTTTCATGATTTAATAAAAAATTAAATAGAAAAGCAAAATATAAATACGCGGAAAAGCATTAGTTCCTTAGAGCGACTGGTAGTTACTTTAAGGTATGTATATAGATATATTATTCTTAGTTACAGGAAAGTGACTTTTACTAAAAAACTAAAGAGTTTAAAAAAAATATATTAAAACATAAATATTATAAATCTGTGTAGAAGTAGCAACTAATTTTACAAATCTAAAAAATTTATTTATCAAATCACGTTCAAAACAAACATGTAAACAACTCCGTTTTGCTTTCTTGGCGGGCAGCGCGACACAAGAGGGAGGAAATATATATCCTAAAAATCGCTCGGATAGCATATTTCGTCCACCATTAAATATATCGCGCGGCATCGCCGGTATATAGATATATATTATAGCATCAATGCGCAGCGACTTGCACTTTTTAATGCAAAGCGATATTTTTATAATATGTGAGCTATAATATATATTATATTATTGCTTATCGTCCGTAGCCGGCTTTAACACTGGTTTTTGGTATCTCAATTTATTTCAACTCAACTTTCACAATAACAATACAACTTATATCATAAAACTTAAAACTGACGTCAGGATCATCCTTATATAGCTTGCTTGACTCTTCCCGAACCTTCTCGAATTGTCGTCTAGAATATTCTTGACGGGTAATGACATTTTCAGACATTTCTGGTCTATTCTATCTTCTTTTACTTGTACTTTTACTTATGACGACTGCAGCACACTATAGGTCGATAAGTAATATTCCACTTCTTTTTCTATCTGTACGTTTCCTGTAATAGCCGCAGGCTACTACAGGGTGCTGTGTACCATTGCTTCCTCCTCTCTAGTTATTCGCCCCGAATAACTTGATTACTGGAACCTGGTTGGGGCCAACGGGGAGGATCTGGACCACGATATGGCGCTATCTATTCAACGTGAACTATCTTGGGTTTACTTCCCGCTGTCAACTGAATGCGGTAGATCAGGTCATTAATTTTCTTGAAGACGGTGTAGGGGCCTTCCCAGTTCCGTTGCAGTTTCTGACAAAGTCCTTTTCTGTACTTGGGATTGTACAGCCATACTGGATCGCCTCTCTCAAAACAAAATGCGGCATGCATGTCTATTCTAGCTTTTACTTTATCGCTACTAACTTTCAAACGTTGTCGAGCGAATTCGTGTACCTTCTCTAATCTTTCTCTTAGGTTTTGTATGTACGTGGGAAGTGTGCGGCCTTTTTCTTCACCAGGAGGCTGCCTTCCAAAAAGAAGATCGTGGGGAAGTTTCATCTCCCTTCCAATAATTATCATGGATGAGTATAACTGGTCGTTTCATGTTCAGAACTTCGGTAGGCTAGCAGAAGTAGAGGAATTAAAGTGTCCCAGTCCTTTTGTTTATCAGAGACGAACATTGAAAGATAGTGGCATGTCGTTCTGTTATATCTTTCTACCATTTCGTCGGACTGTGGGTGGAGAGGCGTAATGCGGGTTTTCCTGATATCTTACAGTTTAATCAATTCTTGCCATAATTAGGATTCAAAATTTCGTCCTTGGTCAAAATGTAATTCCAGGGGGAATCCGTGTCTCGCAATGACGTTCGTCATAAATGCTTCCGCTACTTTCGTCGCTTCCTGATTAGGAATAGGCACTATTTCGGGCCACTTTGAAAAAGAGTCCATAACAACGATTAATTGTTTGTTTCCCTTTTCTGTTAAGGAAAGTGGTGGCGATTCGTTCTAAAGACTCTCCGGAAAGGTACTGTGCCATTTTACCTCGACATTTTATTTTGGGCCCTTTCCTGCTATTACAAAGGTCACATTCCTTGCACCAATCTT